CTTTTTTTTTTTTTTTTTGGTTTTTACGAGACAGGGTTTCTCTGTATTGTTTTGGAGGCTGACGGTCCAGCCCGGCCTCGAACTCACAGAGATCCACCTGCCTCTGCCTCCTGAGTGCTGGGATTAAAGGCGTGCGCCACCACCGCCTGGCTTCATATCTTAATAAATACTTGATAACCCTTAAACAGATGCACGTGGATTTCTCACCACAAGCCACACCTTTTAATTGTTTAGTTGATTTATATGTTTTCAATTTATTTGCTTTTTAATAAAAACGTAGAGTCATTTTGTTGCCATATAAATATGAATATATTTGCAATAGTTTACAAGAAACTGAAATAGTAGATTAACAGGAGACTCCATGCTAGCCACTTGAATCAAATAGATTTAGTTTACTTTCTGTTTCTTAATACAAGTAAATACTCAAGAAACACTTTTTTTAAAAAATTAGGAGACTGGAAGGTGGCTCAGCAGTTAAGAGCACTTTTTTGTCTTTTTTTATTTAAATTAGAAACAAGCTTGCTTTACATGTCAATCCCAGCTCCCCCCCTGGGTTTGGTTCCCAGAACCCATGTGGTAGTTCACACTTGTCCATAACTCCAGTTCCTGGAGATCTGATGTACTCCTCTGAACTCCTTGGGCATCAGGTATGCATATACACTTACTCAGGCAAAACACTCACACACATAAAAAGTAAATCTAAAAAAGAATTTATTAAAAACATTGGAAGTCCATTTTAAAAATACTAGGTTTTAAAAGTCCAGAAACAGTGTGGAAGCATAAGCCTACAGACTCAGCCCTAGGGAGGCTGCAACCAGAAGATTACCAGTTCCAGGCTAGCCTGAGCTATAAAGCCATACTTCCCTGTGAAAATAAAAGAGACAGAGAAAGTAAAACACTCATGTAACGGTAGGCTGATCAGATCTGCGCTCCAATGTGGTCTGCCTTTCTTGCCAACACATGGGTGAAAAAGTGGAGATAATAGTTTGCTTAAAAGCCTTAGCATACCTAGGAGGCTAGGCACTAGAATAAAAGAAAAGGGTAGGGCAAAGACACAATTCTTTAAAAGGAAGATGAGTTTAAAGGAAAAAAATCAATCTTCTCTCCAGAGTATGGTCCCCCCCCCCATTAGAAGGATTAAAGCGATACATTCAGCTTTTAGACCAGATTTTCTTTCTCTAAGGCTTCAACACCCCCTCACACTGCCTCAGATAATCACATTAGTTTTGTCGGTAAAAGCTCTCTTTTCATGGAATGCATCTAAACCGCTTAAACCACCCAGAGAGGGTGCATACATTACCAAACACCAAGACAAGCGGAAGAGATTTTCCCTTTTATGTCTTACTATTTCGCTGTGTGTATCCCCATGATCAGAAGACTAGGCTAAAAATGCTAAAATGTTTGATTGGCTATCAGCTGAAAGAACGACTACAAAATTTCACGAACTTCAGTCTTCTTTAAAAGTGCTTTTAAAGCTAAGAAGAGGCGCAGTGGTTTCTAATGTAGCCCGAACCGTCAAATGATAGAGGGTTTCTATTTCCTTTTTCTCTTCCTCCCTGTGTTGTGCCGGCCAAGTCCATGATTATTTCTGCATGACTGTGGCGGCTTCTGTTACCAGTAAACAAAAGCAAATAGGGACAATGTGCAGAGACAAATTAGAGAGAATGATAGCTGAATTGACGTGGAAAACGGCATTCAGTCACTGCTCAGGGATACTCCAGAGATGTCCATGGTACCGACAGAACTGGAAATAGCCTGCTCTCTCTCACAACCCAACCTTTACCTCGCCACGCTAAGCCTGGGCTACAGACTCGCAAAGGGTCTAGTCTGCGGCTTGTCAGCCCTTTAAAGAGGAAGTGCCTCGGAGGGAGGAGCTCTGCCTAAATGGAACCGTCCAAGTGAAAGAGCAGCCTCCAGCTGGGTAGTGTTCCTGGGATTAAAAGGCTGAGAGGACAGATAGGGTCAAGAAAGGAGAAGGAGAATGAGTGGAGAACAGACAGCAATCTAAAGCTCAGCTGAGGAGCGAGGTGCAGTGAAGACAGTGAAAACGAATCTGTGAAAATTAAAGTGCAGCTAACTATGGGAAGAGAGGCAAGAAGCAACGGAGGGCTCAAGCAAGAGAAGTGGGTTTTGTTGTTTGTTTGTTTTCAGATTTTTTTTTAGGGGAAGGAGAGTCCAGAAAAGAAACAAATTCATAAATGTATTCTAAGCAATCAAGAATTTCTCAGTATCAAGTAGAGTGCTTGCATAGCATGCGTGAAGCCCTGACTTCTATTCCTCAAAACCCTTCACAAAAAGAATTCCTTATATAAGCAAAAATAGAATTATTTTGGCAAGAAATTGTTAAAGAGATTGTCAAGATCTCAGTTTAGAGAATAAAGTTAAGTGTGACTATGGGCTTAAAAAAAAGCTATTTTGCAAAATAAAATAAACCTCCAAATGGTATACACACGGTGCTTAAAGGGGATTGTGCCAAATCAAAAATAGAAAGACATCTGAAACATACCTCACTGGCCTCAGTTGATTATTTAAAGAGAATGGAGGAACATTTGTTTATATTTAAGACTAAACAACAAAGCTCCATTGAAGCAATATTGAGAAAGCCTAGAAAACCTAGTACACTGCTCTCCAATCCAAGTCCTGATGAAAGCTGTTCACACTAAAAAAGCTTTATCCCTGTGCTTCTTGCTAGATTATGAGTCAGCAAACTAACCTATAGGCCAAATGCAGCCAGATGCTGCACTTGTAAACAAAAACGTTACTGGCCAGTCTCACTAATTTACGGTTGGCCCATGGCTGCTTTCATGATTTGGCTGTGAAATCAATTGACAGAAAATTGTAAGGCCCATCATACCTAAAATATAGTTCTTTATAGATGAAGTCTGCCAGTCCCTGCTTAGCATAGTGTCTAACAGCTCATTTGCTCTTCAGTGGGAATGATGATGGGTGTGTATTTAGTACATTGGACACCAAGGGAATACAAAGAGGTATGCTTGATATTTAAATCCAGGTTTTCTTATGAGAGATATCAGCTATTTCTAATAACTTTGTATTCAGGTGTAGGGGGTGCATGCCTATAATCCCAGAACTTAGAAGTAGTGGTCATGAGTTTGAGGCCAGACTGCACTAGATAGATAGTTCTAGACCACCTTAAACTACAAAGTGATCTTTGCCTCAAAGTAATAGTAGTTTGTCTCAAAATAATAACAATAACTTTGTGTTATCAACATCCAGTTTAATTCAATGCACATTAGTTGCCAGCCTATTATATATCAGATGTTCACTTTATACATAAAGAGAAATAACCCTGAGAACAAGTGGAATTATTTTATTTTAATTACAATTTGTAAACAAGGTATAATTTTAGTAGTTCAGTGGAACACTTGAAGAGCTTTTGAAACTTGGTTCTCATATAACTGATTAAACTTTGATTTCCAGTACCCATTCTAGCTGTGGAGTCAAAAATATCCTCAAAACATAACCTTCTTTTGCTTTTTAAAACTCTTGTTCTTAACAAGGGATTACTTAAAGAACATATACAATAAATTATGTGGACAGCACAAGAGTCTTTAAAATGTAAAAAGACCTTAAGTTTATATAAATGTTTGTAGTGGTTTGAATATAATTGGCCCCCATAAGTTTATAAGAAGTGGCACTATTAGGAGGCGTGGCTTTGCCGGAGTAGCTAAGGCCTTGTTGGAGGAAGTGTGTCACTATGAGGGTAGGTTCTGAGGTCTCATATATGCTCAAGCTATGCCCAGTGTCTCAGTTCGCTTCCTATCCCCTTCATATCAAGATGTAGAACTCTCAGCTCATTCTTCAGCACATGTCTGCCTGTTGCCATATCCTATTGTAGAATATTATTTTAAGATGTGTTACATTTGTTGTTGCTGTGGAATATGTTTAATGATGTGAAGATGTGTTGCATTCTTTTATGTTGCATTTGTTTAACTCTGTGAAGCTGTGTTACTATGTCTAAAATATCTGATTGGTCTAATAAAGAGCTGAATGGCCAATAGCAAGGCAGGAGAAAGGATAGATTAGGCTGGCATGCAGAGAGAACAAATATGAAGAGAAACCTTGGAAGAAGGATCAAGGAGCAAGAGAATAATGAAAGGGAGACACTAGGGGCCAGTCACACAGCCACACAGCCAACCACAAATTAAGAGTGAAAGTAAGAATGTCTCACCATGATAATAATGGACTAAACTCTGAACTGTAAGCAAGATACCCCAATTAAATGTTTTGCTTTATAAGAGTTGCTCTGGCCATGGTGTCTCTTCACAGCAATAGAAACCCTGAGACAATATTCATGCACCTGTAGAACTTATAAATCAGTGTCTTTACACTTCTCATATTATTTGAATCTTATCATAAGCATTGGTAGCCATTGATATCTTGTTCTGAGGCTGACAAGCAAAGACAGGGCAACTCAAGGAGGAAGAGGGCCTTGTCCAGGATGCTGGTGGATAAGCAGCAGTGTGGGGCCATGCCCTCCTGTCATCATTTAGAAGGTACCCTTCCCACTCTGCTGCTCAGCATAGCAATCACCCTTCATGACTTCCACTCTGCTGCTCGTCATAGAGATCACCATTCATGGTGTGTAGCATTTAGAATATTTAGCAGTTCACTGAATAATCTTAGCACTTCAATGGAGCAGTCATTTATCAAGTTTCTACCATGTGTTGCACATATTTAGGCATAAGACATATATCACAAAATTGGATAAGCTACATATACACAGTATGGCTCAGGATTTGGTAGTTATTCCATTAACAACAATCACTGGCCTCACACAACATTGATGCATTTTATCTCCAATTCTCAGAAGAAGAAGCTAAAGCTAAGGAAAGTTATCTAGCATGTCCAAGGTCACATAATCAGAAAATGGCTGAACTCAAAATTACTAGAGACACAGAGCCCCAACATCATCAATATTTCTTCCTCTGATGAAAGCCACATAGGAGTTTATAAATGAGGACAGTGTGTTGTCCTGTTACCTTGACGGGCCAAGAAGGCAAAGGCTTTAAAAAGTTGGCTGGGTATGGGTAGTTCACCATGGCCAGGTTCACCCAGGTCTCAGAGATCCAGTCTTTCAGGCGTTGGATGTCCTCAGAGTTAAGGGAGGTGCACAGGTGAAAGGTTCTGGTGAGCCATGGTAGACCACTGCCTGGAGACAGAATGACATCAGGTGAAAGGCACTGGTGAGCCATGGTACATCACTGCCTGGAGACAGAATGACATCAGGTGAAAGGCACTGATGAGTCATGGTACATCACTTCCTGAGACAGAAGTGACATCAGGTAAAAGGCACTGGTGAGCCATGGTAGACCACGGCCTAGAGACAGAATGACATTGCCGGGAGCTGCAAAATGCTAGTCAACATAAGTCTTTGCAGATCTCTGACTCTTCACTTTGCATTACAAAAAAAATACAAATTTCTATGCTGCTTCGCCAAGAATGTTTGCAATATTCAACAAAATGCTTTAATATAATCCAATAATTCCATCACAGACAAATTAAACTTCATCATGGGGCTTATCAAAATCAGTATTCTTTACTTCTCATTTCAATTTTTTATAGAAGACCAATATTCAATTCCCAGCACCCACAGGGTGTCTCACAATTTGTAACTCCAATACCAAGGGGTTGGATGTTGTCTTCTGACCTCTCTGGACATCAGGCACACACTCAGAAATACACGCAGGCAGAAACCCATATGCATAAAATATTTTTTAACAAAGTGCAAGTATTGAACAAATTAAGTTCAATTTTTAAATAACAAAATGTAAATCCATTCTTTTAGGTAAAGCTTACCTGTATTTGAGAGTCGGTTAATGGCACCCCAAGACCTGAGGATGCTCTCTGAACATTTTGTACCACTTTTCCTAAAATCTTCAGTTACGATCTTCATAAACACACCACAGGGAGTCAACTCTTCAAACTGCCAGATAGGGGCAGAAGCTGCAAGAGCTCTGAATGATCAGAGAAATGAGAGGAGGAAAGAAGAAAAGGTGACTCAGCTAAGTTTCAAAACAACAAGCTCAAGCCAGACAAAATCCAGCCTGGAGATGGGAGGTGACATGAGATCCCATCCCTAACTGGCAATAGACAGTTGCTAGCAGAGAGAGAGTCTGGCATCTTTAACAGTGTAGCCAATGGAAGTCAACCACACTCCAGTAGAAGGCCACATGTCTAAGAGTATATGGGCAGCATGAATGGGACTTGATGGGTTTAGAAGAGGAAGAGGAGAAAACAAAGTTGTGTAAGTTGGGAAGAAGAGATGAATCAGGAAGGAGTTGGAAGAGAAGGGTTAAAATGATGAAAATACATTGTATAAATGATTCAATAACAAACGAATAAGAACTAATAAAAACTGTAAACAATCTAATAAAATAATTTTATAATTATTCTATATATTATTTATAATTTAAAATAATTAAGAATAAAATGGAAACTGAGCCTTAAAAGATGATTAGAAAAATAACATAGCTGTTAATGAGATGGGATACAGAAACATCTATACAACAGAATGGAACATGCTTTACCCAGAATGATGCTATGAGTTTGTCTTGATCATTAAGAAGTCTGGTGGAATCAGGCATGGTGGCACATGACTTTAATCCTAGCATTCAGGAAGCAGAAGTAGATGGATATCTGTGTTTGAGGCCAGCCTGGTCTACAAAATGAGTTGCAGGATAGCCAGGGCTGTTACACAGAGAAACCCTGCCTTGAAAAAAAAAAGTGTGCTCAAATCCAGCATAAATGCACTTACCCAACTACTAAATGAGGATATTTCATTCTGAACCAAGCTGCAAGCACACCACCATAAGAGCCCCCGATGGCAATGACAGGTTGGCCATCGGCTCCCGGGACAGTTCTTTTCAAATGTCTGATTAACTCTGCAAAATCAGCCAGAGCTTGTTCTGATGTCAGAAAATTCAAATGCTTGGCGTCCTGAGGGGTGGGAGGATGAACATAGATATAAATGTAGATGAAGTCACAGCATAGGCACAGTTTAGGTCCAAAACAGAACTTGAGTCATGTAAGCTTGTTTTCCAAATAGAATTTCTAGGAAACAGAGTCAAAATGCCCAGTGAAAGCACAGGGCAGAGTAACTTCAACAAGTCACAAAGCAATTTGTTTGTAGAACATAATAAATTTTGCATTACATGTAATCTCTCTTTCATTTTCTCTCTTTATGTCTCTGTAAATTTGCTGAAAATGCAATACAAAAAGCAAGCAATCTCTAAACGCAACTGTCCAGCAAGTTTAATTAAGAATTTTCACAATACTAACTCTGCTGCCACGGTATGGATTTGGTCAAGGACTCTAAACAACTATTTGATGTGTCTTATAATTTTTACTTTAGATTACAAAGGCTCCTTCATTTTCTTTGTCACAAACATAAAACTGTTGAGGTACAATGATAAAAACAATCAGCCTCCGACTGAGTAAAAGGCTGTACAGAAATTTCCCATGAGCCTCAATGGGGGGATTGTCAAGCCATAGCTCTTGGTTTGCCTGCTTCCATGGCAGTGGTCTTGCCATCATATGCTCAGTGTCCCCTGGGATACACAACATTGGCCTGGAGAGAAAACACAGGCACTCAGGGCGTCCCTGCAGGTAGCTTTCCCAAGCCAGCAACCTGAAGCATAGGTCTTGTTTTGCGGGTGAATGTCAATGATCTTTTTAGGTTTGAAAGATAGCTTTGTTTCTAAAGTAAAAATAAAGTTGTAGAACTGTGGTGGGTCTGAGACACTTTTTTAAAATTGCTACCAAGTGTCTGACCCTGAAAAGATAATTCTCCTCCTTGTCTGGTGTTCACCAGTTCTACATGACAGAGCATGTTTTTCTTCACTACCTACACACACACACACACACACACACACACACACACACACACACACACACACACACATACACATACACCTGGAAAAAGAAAAAGGGAACAGAAATAATTGCCAAACCCAAAGATCTGTTAGAAGCCATAGAGAATGGAGGAAGTGTCCTGAAAGGACTAGAGATCTAGTCTGTCAGACAAGGGGCAGCAGAGGAGGTGTGAGCTGGCAGCATAAGTGAGGGATTCCAGGCCCCAGGTACGAGCTCCTCTGCTAGGGAAGCCCCACAGTGATCTAGACAGCGAAGAATACTTGGGACACTGACAGACATGTGCGACATGTGCCCCTCTCATTCTCCATGCCCTTAATCCAGAGTTCCACCTCAGTGGGCCCCATAGCTTCTTCAGCAGAACCCCTGGCTGTGGGGAAGTGAACCCACCCTATCTGTTTCCTTGAATGAGCTTAAGTACTAACTTGTCATCTCCCTGGTAATGTAGCTCTGCCTTGGCCCTACCCTGAATTAGTCACCATTTGAAACATCACAACACAACTTGTAGGCATGTTCTTCCAATAAGACAATGATATTCTCTGCCCAAGCCTGTCACATGTCCTGTCTGTGTTCTCCTTTGCAAATGTCATTTGCACTAGATGCTATTTGCTCAAGGTCTTGTTGAGGTTGTAAATATAATAGAAACATTTATCGATAAACATGATGGAATATGAAACTACGCTAATATGCAGCTGTTATAATTTCATTTCAAGCCTTGATACATTTAAGCTGCCCAAGATTTAGTTGAAGATGAAGTAAATCCTGCAAACAACTAATAAAAGGATTCTGGTCAAAATAAACTCTTTCCTCCTTACCAGAAAGGTTATAATTTGCTACAACAACAACTGTAATAAACTCAGCCGCCAAAATCACAGACGGCTATAAAACTGGAAGAGAAAGAATACATCTGAGGCATGAGGAGAAAAGCCCATGCAAGACATTCATCACCAAGAAAAAGGAGAGCCACTCAGCACATTCCATGATGGTTTGGCTCTCTGTGTGGTTCCATTCCCCTCTGCAATATAGATTAATTCTGAACTCAGAAAACTAGCAGGGATTTAAAAAATACATCTGTAAATTTTTCATACTTCTTCCTCTCAAAGATGCAGCCTACTTTCACTGTTTTATGCTTTCACTAGACCTAGTGACCTAATTCTAGTTGATAAAATGTAGTGATCCATGACTATGTACGTCAGGTCTTCAGAAATCACTGCTGCAGGGGTTGGAGAGATGGCTCAGAGGTTAAGAACACTGGCTGCTCTTCCAGAGGCCCTGAGTTCAATTCCCAGCACCCACATGGTGGCTCACAACCATCTGTAATAAGATTTGGTGCCCTCTTCTGGCCTGTAGTCATACAGTACACTGTATATATAATAAATCTAAGCCGGACGTTGGAGGCACACGCCTTTAATCTCAGCACTTGGGAGGCAGAGGCAAGCGGATCTCTGTGAGTTCGAGGCCAGCCTGGTCTACAGAGCGAGTTCCAGAACAGCCTCCAAAACAATACAGAGAAACCCTGTCTCAAAAAACCAATGTATGTATGTATGTATGTATGTATGTATGTATGTATATGTACATATACATATAATCACTGCTGCATTGAGAGAAGTTAGCTGCTATATCACAAACTCAAGCAGGCGCTGAAGCCTCTTGAGGCATCCACACCAGTTTATTGCTCCTCTGATGAACCACTGTGAGTAGAGTCCCAAGAGTATTCAGTGCAAGCAGAAAAGCAGAACTACACTGAGTATGTATTGTTCCCATTGGTTAATAATAAAAGCTCTTTGGCCTATGGCAAAGCAGGATAAGGTTAGATGGACAATCAAAGTGAGAGGCAGAGTTGAGGGAGATGTGAACAAGCCACCAAAGGAACAAGATGCCCAGAGTACCAGTAAACCACAGACCAAGTGGCAATAAATAAACAGAAATGGGCTAAATTAAATGTGAGAGCTAGTTAGTAATAAGCCTGACCTATAGCCAAACATTCTGTAATTAATATTAAGCTTCTGAGTGACTGTTTAGAAGCAGCTGTATGACAGGTTGGGGCTGAGAAACCTAGTTTACACTAGACTATGATGGAGAGTTGACAGCTAATAAAAGCTCAGAGAAGAGACCCTGAAGGTCAGGGTCACCAGAAGCATTCCCGACAACTATCAAGCCTCCCAGGCAAGGGCCTTAAACCCTAAGGTAAGAACTGCTATACTCACTGCTGCCAAGAGCCAACAAACAGTCCCAGTACCCAAGGTCTGCATGGGGACTGTAACCCAAGGGACTAAGTGTCCCCACAGGCAAAGCTGGCCAGGGACTGTTACAGCAGAGGTTTCCACTTGCCACTGCTTCTGACTGACTGCTGCCATAACTAGCTACTCTTGGACATTGAAGGAAAATAAAATCTTCCAAAAACCAGTATTTTTTCCACCCATAAATGCTATCCAGGTGAACAAAAGAACCTTCAGTGACTGGAGACGGCATGCACACCTGTTGTCCCAGTACTTGGAAGACTGACAAAGAATAATCATGGACTGACAAGGATAACATGGACTATGTAATGCCCCTCTGTCTTAAAATCAATGAAGAGGAGGAGAAAGAAAAAATGAAAACCATGAACAGTGCTTGGGATACAGTTGTGTTGGAAAGATGGTTACCTGTCAAATATGAAGTCCTAGGCTCAACCCCAGAACCACATAAAACTAAACATACTGTCTGCTGCACATGTAATCTTAGCACACGAAGGTGAAGACAGGACACACTTGGATACATGAGACCCTGCCCTATCCACCCCCAACAAAAAAATATTAAAACATGTACTTACCTTGAATGAGTCCTCACCAAAGGGAAGGGAATCCCCATAGTATCGATGTTCAGCAAACACCAGCAAAGCTTTCAGCTTCTCAGCCACATCCCACATGAACCCCTGGGAAGAGTGCAAATTCAGGAGTTAAAAAAAAATATCACATTAGTTCGAGGCCAGCCTGGTCTACAGCACGAGTTCCAGGAAAACCTCCAAAACAGAGAAACAGGTCTCGAAAAAAAATGAATATATATATACATATATATATATATATATATCACATTGAACTTTTGGAGACCATACATACCATAGATATTATAGAGTTCTCTTAGAAAAATGTGCAGTGCATGTGTGTTCCACAGATGTGATCCATGCTGCAATTCCCAACATCACATCACACTATCTTAGAGTGAAACAAATGAAAATGGGCCAAGTGCGGCAATCCCAGCAATAGACAGACAGAGATAGAAGGATCCCCAGCCCCTAGCACAAAGCTGACCTCTACAACATAGCAACTTCCAGGTCAGCCTGAGCTGACAATGATGAGCCTCTCTCAATCAAAGAAATAAACAAAAAGCAAAAACTAAACTTTTGGTTGTCCATGCATACAAATGTGACTTCCTCTTCTGATACCCACAGCAAACTCCCTTGGGATTTTAATCTTCTGTATAACTCCTGCTTCCAATATGTCAGATACTGTTCTACCTACTACATGTAATAATTCACCTAATCGGCACAAACAGGAATCAGGCACTGTTGTTTTACAGACAAGGACACTGAGACACAGGCTCAATGTTCACACAGATGTACAGAAATACAGGCTGTAATGCAGAGCGATCACCAAGGGCCACTAGACTCCCTTACTCCCCACCCCACCCCACACACTGATGGCTCCTCACTAGCCATTCACTACCTCTTTCCCTTTGACTGGATGGTGCCCTCTGAATCCTTTCTAAGAAGGCATCCCAGGCACACAGCATCAATTGATTAGACGTCTAGCATGGATCAAAGCCGTGTCCTTCCTGGTGAATGCTGCTGGTGTTTAACAAGTTACTATTCCCTAACAAGGCATGGGAACCTCAAAATGAGCAATCTAGAAGGAATTAAAAGAGCTACCTGTGGGGATAATGGGCATGTTAGCCTGATACCTGTGGTTTTGACTACCCCTCTTCTCTTTCACAGAGCTGCTCACTCCTGCCACGAAGCCCAGGCCCAGTCACCCCCAGCTCAGGCACACCCTCCTCTGCATGTCCAGGCCCAGCAGAGCTGTCCATCTCCCCTCAACACCAGAGTGCTTAAAGAACTCCTCTGCTGCTGCAACAGGAACTCACATGTACAACTTCCACCACCAGACTGCGAGTGTCTTAAGAGCAGGAACAGACCTCTGTGGAGCTGACCTTGGGTTTTGACAGGAAGCAGTTTAACTAATCAGATTCATGAAGCAATTACCCATTATTTGCTTGCATCCATTTCAAGGCTAATTTATCTTTCAAAAGATGAATAAATAATGTGTTAATATGTATTAACAGTGTAGACAGACTTTCTTTTCTGACACCGGCCCCAAATAGACATGTAGACGTCTGATTAATTATGAAAGTTTGTTCTTAGCTTAGGCTTGTCCTACTAGCTCTTTAATTTAAATTAACCTGCTTTTATTAATCTGCATTTTACCATGTGACTTTTTACCTTTCTTTCATTCTGTATGTCTGACTCCCTCCATGGTTCTTTGGCATCACCTCTGCACTTTGATTATCTCCTCCTACTTCCTCTCTCTGCCTGGAAGTCCCACCCATACGCCCTGCCCAACTATTGGCCATTCATTTCTTCACTAAACCAATCACAGCAGTATATTATCACGCAGTGTACAAATATCCCACAACATAACCTTGTATTTCTAAAGGCTCCTTAATTTTAATTTTATTTAGTCTTCAAAACAACAGTAGGAAATAGATACTTTTATTATACCCACTTAACAGATGGGCAGATTGAACTGTAGAGTTAAAAGCTTACTCAAATTTAAACAACTAAGCAACAAAGTAAAAGTTGAAACCTTCTGTATCTGGCTAACATCATCACTTCTATATACTCTGTCAGGAAATCTGCACACACAATCATGATGTTTTAGTTTGCAAAAGAAGCTGCCTTGGACTAGGGAAGGTGAGGATCTGCCCTTCCAGGGTTTTTTTCTGGTCAATTCTCTGGAACTGCCCCTACAGTGAGTGTCTTTTCATTCCTGCCTTTCTAATGACAGAGTTTGCCCTAGGAACCTTAACTCCCACTGAGGAGCCTGTATGGCAGTGGGGTCTGCTGAAGGCAGGACCAACCCTCTGCCTAGATTAAAGAGCAGGCCCTAGGCAGGAGAAGTTGCCCCGTTGCTCTGGCACAAAAGGAAAGTCACATCTAAAGAAGAGAAAAGAGAGGAGCAGTTCTGGCTTCTCACAGAGTAGCAGCAGGAACCTGAGGGGAAATGAGTCTTGATCCCAGCTGTCATTAACCCATGTCCTGGATCTCCTTTCTTCTACTTTCTGCATACTCTAAAGAGTCTAACTCTTAACAGCTGTAAGAGGGGGAAACCATCACAAATGAGGGATTCAGGAACTATGAGTGAATTCACATCTTTATTTCAACTAAGATCACCGAGCTAGCATTTTCTGAGGGTTCCTGAATACCAGGCACCCTGGCAGATACTCACATTCTGGATAATATGATATTCTCTACTTCACCATAATTCAGACTGCATTTTTGACAGAAATTTGACATTATCTACTCACAGTCCTGATGTGCCAAGAAGGAGTATGTCATCTTATCATGTGCTCTAATTTAAGTTTTATTGATGGATTTAATTATAATGAAAGGTGGCTGAAAACACAGGCATGGAAGCAAACTAATGGTCCTACTATGTTAATACTTATGAACATAAAGAAGTCACAGGACAGGAAGATTAACTAAAATACACCTATAACTTTACCTCTGCCCCTCCCTACCTGGAGGTGAAACTTGTGTCTTCTAATATTTATTTATACTTTTGCTTTTGTTTTGTTCATTTATTTAACAAATGTGTGTGTGTGTGTCACCTGCTACATGCTCTAATATAATACTATACTCCAAATGCACAATGTTGAATAAGTTTGTGAAAAGTCCTGCCCTTATATTTACCTAGTAGAGGCCAAAAATCAAACAATACAGTATGTGCTGAGTACAGTGGCACATGCTTTTAGTACCAGCACTCAGAAAACAGAGGCAGGTGGATCTCTATGAGTTCTAGGCCAGCCTGGTCTAAATAGTGAGTTCAAGAGCAGATGGTGCTATGTAGGCAGACCTTGTCATAAATCCCCACACCAAACAACAACAAAAACTCTGTATGCAATAAATCAAAATTTTCCAACTTAAAATTAAATGGGACATGGAGTTGTAGACTTGTTAATTTGTGTAAATTTGTTATAACTGGGACCAAATAGTATGGGCCTGTAATCCCAGATACTTGTTGGGTTGAGGTAAGAGGATTTAAAACTCATGTACTACCTGGATTATAGTGAGCTCAAGGCCATCCTGGGTGGCTTACTCAAACCATGCCTCAAAATTAAAAACGAAAAGAGGCCTTGGGACACAGCTCAGTTGTACAACACTTGTTCTGCATGTGCAAGGCCCTGGGTTCAGTTCCCAATGCCACAAAGGAAAAAGAAAGTTTAGTGATCAATCTCAGAAAACTTTCTTCCACTCATCATAGTAAGAGGCAAATTGCTTAAGTGACCCTCACAAGTGTGAGCATACCACATACCGTATGATTTGAAAACCAGGTAATGTCCCCTTCATTGCCAGTGTAGAAAAGTATTACACCGTCATATGTCTTCCAATATTTATCAGCTATTAGGTACCGCTGCCTAAAAGTTTTTGTATTATAAAATCCAAAATGATCAACCTACATTAAAAACAAAACAGACAAGATATATATCAAAGAAAGTAAGTAGATTAGCACAAAAAGTAATAGACTAAAATCAGCATGGATCACAAAATAATCAAAAGAAACATTAAATTTAATTTGGTTTTATCAGTAGTAGCTATTATGGTAACTATTTTTATACACTTACATAGTATGCAACATCTTTGGAGATGTGTCTACATTGTGGAATAGCAAGGTGATCTAATTACCTAAGTATCATCTTACAATCTTACTACTTTTTCTGGTGAGAGCACTTAGATCTATTCTCATAGCAGTTTTTAAAAACTCCCAGTATTTCTCAAAATAAAGTTAGCCCATATTATCTGAATTTTTAATACCTAAATTTTCCTTGTTAAAATCATAAACTAGTAAACCATTGAAAAGATCTATAAGGATTTACACTGTACCACCAATAGACATTCCTAGTGGAAAGACTTTCCTACATGATACCATCCCCGTCAAAAGTAGACTCAAAAAAAGAAACAAGAACTTGTTAGTAAAGTGACTGAAATTGATGGACCACAAAATTGCAAGACCAGCCTACAAATCTTACTGTCAAAAAAGAAAATCCCACTCAAAAATTAGTACAGTTACATTAATAGATATAGCAGTAAATTTCAAGAAACTACCACTGGCTAACATTTTAATGCAATGAACATGAAATAAATAAACATAAAGGAAATACAAATTGTAGTTGATTTAAATAGTAAATTCATGAAAATCCATTAATGCATAAGAATATTTTTAAAGAGTACCTGTTTATGATGCCTATTAATTCAGTTGCTTACTTTGAAGTTGGGAATTAACAGTAAAGAATCCAATATTTAGTCTGCCATTTCTAAGAGACTTGTATTAAAGAATACCAGACAGTTCCAGCTGATAAAGCTGTCTAATCAAGTATCAGCAAGTGCAAAAGGAATTATTAAGTTGGAAAAATGATTGTACTGCAATGTTACTGATTAGAGCAAGAACTATTAATTGGAACTGAGAACATTTTAAAATATAACAGAAAAATTAACTTTTATATGGTGTCACAATGATATCACAGACCACACTATTTTATTACAAGAAAGACGATAACTACAACAAGAATTGGGCCATTATCATCTTAATCTAATGGCCAGTATTAAAACCGCAAATGACAGGGCAGGCAAGGGGCATGTGACTTCTCGTGAGTACAATATAAAGCATATATCACCCATGATAGAATTTTTACCAAAAATTTTCATTGTGTATTTCATCCAGACATTGATCTAATGTCAGGCCCCAGGAAGTATTGAGGGCAGCACGTTGAATTGAATACACTCTGCAGAGGCAGTTGGGAAAGGCTGAAGATGGAGTATCTTACAAAGCAAGCACTAAGTCATACTGTAGGGGAAGGGCTGTTTGAGATTAAGTGGATTTTAAGGAGCATATTAACCACCTATACTGCACGATCTAGGATTGAACCCTCATTTTAACAGATGAGCTATAAGTGACAGACTAGAGATGATTGAGATAATGTCGATATAGGCAAGGTATTAGATGTCACTAAACACATGCATCATTTTGTTTGTATAAAAAATGTTTTAAAGCTGTACACAGCAACATACATAGGGAAGTTAAGCACTCCTAAATGCTGACATTGCTACTGGAACTACCCAAGATCTAAACTGGACGCAGCAATAGTTTCTTAGATCATCTCAAACAGAAAGGACACTCCCCTATACCCAGCTCTATCCCTGCACATGTGTACACAAAATGTAAGCATCTCTAGTTCTCATCTAACTGTATGCCTCATGATTTATAAACTATCTAGGCAATCTGGAAATGACTCCCTACCTCTCAGAAGAATAAATTTACAGAGACTGAACATATAATAATCCCATCCATGCCTACACAGAAGCCCTGCCCATCACATATGTTAATTTACTCATCCACTCATTCAAAAACAAGTATGTGTTGAACTGTCTAGGGAAAGTGCTGAGCTTTTTTATTCTTTAAGTTAGTTTAAGGTTTTTAAATGAGTATAACAAAATAAAACATTAAATAAAGAAATGAAAGAGAGCAAAAGAAACAGAGAAGATATGTAAGCGACTCCACATGCTCCCACTCACTGCAGTGCTCTCCTTTTGAGAGTCGGTCAAGCACCGTCTGCACTGTCTGTACCATCCAGGAACTTGAGAGAAATGCATGGCCTCCAGCTGAATCCTAGACCTACTGAATCGGGAATTCTGGGGACACAGCCCAGTAATCTGTGCTTTTCAAGTGGTGCTGATGCAGCTGAAATCTTAAAAGCCACTAAGCTAGAATAGGCACCAAAGTGAGATCTGGGTGTACTATTCCTTCTCTTGAACTAGATGTCAGATGTAAGCATCTTGGGCTAAATGAAAGTCTAGTATTAAATGATTTGAATTAGCAACAAAAGAGCTCCTAGATGCAAGCCATCTGTGCCATTTGAAGTTCATCAACAACCACAATCTATTTCAATGAGGGTGCATAGACAGGCTTTGTCCGGAGGTAAAGAAACAAAACACATGGATCTCTGAGACTTCTAGTGGATTCTTGAAGATCATTTTGTCATACTGATTTTTCACCTCTCCCACTGACTTTCAGACCTAGCCATCTTATGAGATAGTCCTCCTACCTTTAAAAAAACGTCTCACAAAGAGTGCTCAATGCCCAGTCTAAAGGCTTCAAATTAGAAGCATGGGTGTTTATATGCCATGAAGAAAACAAATGAGGAAAGTTCTTTCCAGATCAAAAAACCTCCCACCAAGAATCTCAAAGGCCTCAGGAACTTAGGGAACAGTCAAAATCCCCTCTTAGGCCACACCCAGGCACTCCAGCTCCTCACCATCAGCTTCAACTGCTGAGACTTGAGGGGAAAGAGGAAAGAATATGGCTTTGTTAGAAGGAAAGCAAGTTGGGGGAGTTAGCAGACATGAACTTAAGTTTTTACTGGCTCTCCCATGACATATAATCACCCATGCTTTCTAGAATGAAGCCTTTAGGCTGTATGTTGAAATGGAACCCTTTGTGAGCTGTTTCTAAAGGGTAGGAGGAATATTTCATAAAAAGGCTAGATCTGAAAGTCATTGGGAGAGGTGAAAAATCAGTGTGGCAAAATGATCTTTGAGAAGCCTATAGAAATCTCAGAGAGCTGGGCCTGTCACTTGACCCCTAAGCCCAGCACCTTCCTGTATAAAATTAGGATGACAGTATATCATTCAAAGAGTTGCTGGAGGACAGAGAAAGTGTACTGAGAGCATTGATTTCCTATTATATAAATGCCTAATAAATTTGCCCTCTCCGCATCCCATGGCACACCAACTCTAGGAGCCGATACTCAAGATGGCATGAAGTTCTTGAGAGAATTATGGGAGAATTATTCTTTTTATGTATGTTTTTATTTAAATTAGAAACATGCATGCTTCAAATGTCAATCCTGGCTCCCCTCTTCTCCCTCCACCAGCCCCACCCCCATACCCCCACCCCCAACCCAATCCCCACATCATTCTCCAGGGAGGGTAAGGCCCTCCTTCTGGGGATCTCTAGAGTCTGTCATTTCATCCAGGGCAGGACCTAGATCCTTCGCCATGTGTCCAGGCTGAGAGAGCATCCCTCCATCTGGAATGGACTCCCAAAGTTCATTTGTATGCCATGGTAAACACTAGTCTACTACTCAAAGCCCCAGAGATTTCTGAGGCCTCCTCACTGACACTACATTCATGGAGTCTGGATCAGTCCCCTGTTGGCCTCTTAGTCATCAATCTGGAGTTCAAAAGCTCCCCCTTGTCCAGTCAGATATCTTTGTGGATTTCACCAGCACCTTGCTCATCACTCCTCCATCTCTGTTACTGGGTTCCAGGAGTTCAGCTCAGTGTTTAGTTGTGAGTATCTGTCTCTGCTTCCATCAGTCACAGGATGAAGGTTCTAGGATGTCACATAAGGTAGTCACCAACCTTATCATCAGGTACGGGCTATTAATGTAGTCCCTCTGCTATTTCTTAGTTTTCCAGTTGGTGTTATCCTTGTTGTTCTTACAGCATCAAAACTTCCTACTTTCTAAAGACCTGAGTGCTGGAGAGCTGGAGATCTGGAGATCAGCCGTAAAATGTCCTTTGCACAACATGAATTTCCAGCATGCTCCTGGCTCCTTCCCATTACCAGGAACAGCAACTGCAGCTACAGAACTGTTTTCAGTACCAAGTGGTCACACACACACACACACACACACACACACACACACACACACACACACACACACACACGGGAAAGTGTGCCCTCTGCTGTCCAGACTGAGATCCACATGTCACTTTCTGAAGCCTACAGTGGGGACTTGAGAAATCACAGCATAAAAGGACTGCAGAAGCAATCTGACCTGCACTGCCCTAAGCAAGCTGAGCTCAAAGGGCTCAAATGCCTTGATCAGGGTCAGCAGAGATGGAATATTGGATCATTTTTACAACCGACTTAGTGACATAACAAAAGGAGGCACATTTCTGGTCACACACAGCAGTTCTTTCTAAAATACAGTAGAAAAGAGAAATTCAAAAGATGCTTCCTGCTTCATCGCGTGGAAACGTGGAAAGGGTCTGCAAGCAGGGAGGGCAAGAGGGAACAAGGACATCCTCTAAATAAAATCTGTGGTGGAAAAATAAGCTTGCACATTTTAACTGCCTGAGAATGAGGCATACATCCAGAAATAATATTAAATCTCCTAAGCACAATTTGGGGGCAACCAGGATAGGAAAAAATACTGAGCACCTGCCTCATGCTATCAATCAGCTGGCCATCTCCAGTCAGAGCAGGCGCTTTGGTGTCCCCAATCCTAGAACAAGACCAACGAGCAATGCCATATGACTTTAAGCCTTTCAAGAACTTGCTTCAATGCTCTACTGTTGATCTCCTGCACAAAATGGATGTGAGAGGTTTAGGGATCAAATATTTACACACAGTACCCCCAAACGATCATGTGGTGATCATCTGGGAAGTAG